GTAACATAGCGAAGGTTGAATTCCATCTTGTATCAATGCTTTGGATTAACTTAAGGTGCGTGACCTTTCGCAACGCATCGGCAGCAATAGTAAATTGTTTAAAATAGGTGACAATTCTTTTAATTTTTGCACATAATGATATTGCATCTTGAAAGTTCATTGTATCCTCTGCGACTAAATTTATTGAGTGAGCAAAACACGCAATATGTCTGGTAGACCCAAAGGTATCTCTGACTGCTTTCTTAATATTTGCTGCGTTATCTGTTACAACGACAACCACTTTTTTATCATCAATATGCCAGTCTTGTAAAATTGTTTTTAACCATCTTCCTATAACGTCAGAGGTGTGTCGCTCTGTCATTTCCGTAACACCAATCGTGGTGGATCGCAATTCTCCTTCACATGTGTAATGAACCGTCATCCCTAAATAGCTGACGGTGTTAAGCACATCAGTCCAGATATCTGTCGTTACGAGAACCACTCCATTTGTTCCAATTTTCGTTTTTCACATGCTTTTAGAAACTCATATTTTTCTTCCATGTTTTTAGTGATGGACTTTCTTGCTGGTACAGAATAAAGAGGCACAGTAGTTTTCATCAGGTTTCTAAATCCTTCGTTATCTACTGTCTGGAAAGGCATATTGTCTTTGGCAATCATGAAAAGGATTGCATTGGTGATTTCTCCTGCTCTTGTACCTCCCTCTAAAAAGATAAATATTATGATTTTTTACGTACAGATACATTTATAGTTTCTATGCACAATAGTTTAAATTTTTGTAATTCATCATTCCTAAGCACCCCAAAAATTTAGCCTTTTTATTTTATAGAAAATATATCACTCTGAACATTTAAAATAATATAGAAAGGCCATCATTACCGTCAGAGGTCTTTTTATATTATTTAAAATTTTCAACGGTTGAATTTACAAGTATTCTGAATATTTGATTGTAAAATTTTTACTTTGTGAAACCTTAAGATTGACTTTAGACATTAGACTCTGTATTTAACATCCATGAAAGCGAATAAATGTGGATGCCCTTTTCGGTTATCCATTATATGTATACATATATAATAAAATCATTTGAATAAAATAAAATCTTATATATAAGTGTTACCTTCAAATGATTTTATTTGCTTGAAAGTGTTGTTGATCTTTGGCTGGAAAACAAA